AAGTATTACGGCGGTTGATGAATACAGTAAGAAGTGTTCGTAAATTTGACTGTCTGCTGAATACATTAAAAACAATCCTAACGCTTTTTCAAATAACTTATTTGGTTTTTCATACTATCTGAGTAATTTTATTGAAGATGTAGAAGCATTTTTTGATTTCCTAAAAACTTTGGTTCGAAACAGCCAGCTGTCCAGTGTTCCCTGGTTTTCATATGATACTTCTAAATGACTTGTTGTTGACTTGTGACGAAATCTACATTGATATTAATCCCCAGTGAAGTCCAGTACTCTCCCCACTTCTCTTTTCTTTCTTTCTACATGACTTACCATCTTCAAATGACATTAATTTTGTCAAATATGCTGACGATCTGACTGTATCTTCGCCTGTCAAATGTCAAAGTGACTGCTCTAAACTGAATGGCTTTCTGTCAGAAATCAGCCAGTGGTCCAAGGATAACGGTCTTACCTTAAAGCCCTCCAAATGCCAAACAGTCAATTTCACCTTTAGGCATAAATCCGACCTACACAAAATGGTTGGCTCTCACGAAGTGTGCAACATAGATGGCACTGAAATAGAAACCAAGTCGGCGTCATTCTATTTGCTGATCTCTCCTGGTCGTCTCATATCTTGGCGATTTCTAAGAAAATGTTCCATCTTACCTCCCACATCAAGAAGTTAAGATGAATGTCTGGTATAACTCAACCCTCACTCCTACATTTCGTTAACTCTCACATTCTGCCTATTATTCTCCATTGTTCCCCGAACTTAGTTTTCCCGGGCTACTGAAGAAAGACTATAACATCATATTACACAGGATGTTAAAGGTTGTCAGCAGCTTGTTAATATTCTGGTTGACAGGCACATGGACTCATGTGAAAAATGGGCCAAGTCCATTCTATCTAACTCACACCACCCTCTTCACTCACAACTCTCCCCTTCCATCTCATCACGCAAAACCAGAAGCCAATATAGAAAACTATATGCTCGCACCAGCAAGTACAAAAACTCAACCATAACCTACTTAGCTCGTGTTCTGTGTGATAAAGAAAGCATTAGGCGTGACACATATGATTCATTAAATAGTCAGTAGTACAACTTGACCTCGACTTTCCAACTCATATCATTTATAGGTACAACATTTTCTTTCTTTCTTTTCCTTTTCTCTCTCTTGCTTTTTTCTTTCTTTTCGTTATGTGCTGCTTTGTTTCTTTCTCTCGCTTTCGCCAGTAAATATGATAGCACCTACTTTTCTAACACCTTCAAACACTGTTCAACTTTGGCTTTGCTACCGACATGCCAATGTGTTGTTGTCATAATGAACTGAGATTTCTTTAATCTATGTGGAATTCTATTTATTGATAATGTACTAACTGGATGCAAAACTGTAGTAGTTAAAATGCTGAGAATTCCATTCTGTATCACAAGTACTCTTTTGGAATAAAGCAAATTATTATTATTATTATATCAAGGTGAAGCGGATGTTCATCGTAGGCAATGGTTGGAGGCGATACTATATCACAAACTGAAAAAAATTCGGATTCGCAGGTAATGAAATAGAGGCCCAACTGGCTGAATGATCAATAAGCTTGCTTACGTAATCTAAAAACTCCGATTTAGGTCCTTGTTGTGGTCATGGGTATTTACTGTTGACGATTTTTAAAGGAGGATGAAACAGCTGTCTAGCGCTGCTTGATTTTGAAGAACAGCGTTCAAAGATTTCATGTCGAAATATAAAATTTAACCGGGAGGAGTATATTAATAAAACAGTCTGCTTAAATATGTTACAGTAAATGTTTTTTTTGTCAGTGGCATAGCGGTTAGGACGCTCGCCGACCATGCACATGGTCCGGGGTTCGATCTCCGGCCGCGCACTCCTTTACCTCGCTGAGCCAGAATTAAAAAGCTGGCAAAGAGGAAAGGTTGGGCATGAGGCTAACAACCTCATCCTGTAAAAATAAACACTGCTACCGAAACTTCAAGCCTCTAGCTTGAAGCCCTATGTTCCACTGGGAACGTGAAGGAATAAAAAAAGTTTTTTCCTAGATAGTGGAAAGGGAATAGGGTGAGTAATGTTCAGATGAAACAATAAAATTTTCTAAGCAGAACAAGAAATATAGGAGAATGCATGCATGACTCGATCAAAATGGTATACTATTCTGTGTACGTTTAGTCACTAAGGCAGTTCACGGTTCACCTATGTCTCCTTTTGCATACATAGACTTTGTTCTAACCGTTTGATGTCAGTTACCTCAGCAAGACACAGACAGCCAGGTTTCTTTTATCTGTTGATCACTTTGAATGACTTCAGATTATATCCAATATGATCAGTGTTCACTAGATGGCGTAAATTCACTCTTTTAATGCTTCTCAGCCCTTTAGACTAAAGTTCTCGGCTATTTTCATCCATATATTTGATAAATAATCAATCCTCTCAATTTATAATCATTTCACAACTTACATCACTCCGGATCTATGTTACCTGTAGTTCCTACAAATTACTCCTTGTCACAGTTTATTTTTAGTTTATTTTTTATTTTATTCCTGCACATTCCCATTGGAACATAGGACTTCAAACTAGATCTTTGAAGTTTCACTAGCGGTAACGTGTATTTTTACGAGATAGTGTTGGTGGCCTTATTCCCAACGTTCCATCTTTACCAGTCTTATTATTGGTTAAGCTAGGTAAAAATGAGTACGTCGGCCGGGGATCTAAACCCGAACCACTTGCGTGGTGCACAAGCATTCTACCACTATGCCATCGACCCGCACATATTTACATATAGTTATAAATCCATGAATATTACAATACAGTAGTCAAAGTGTATTGTGATACATGTGTAATATAAGCTACAAATGGTGATCACGTCACTTTGTGTATAGAGGTTTAACTGATCATTTGTAACTAGTTTTATAGGCCGTATTTAGAGGAATTCATGTTTTTACTTATGCGTGGACGTATATCATTCTGATTTAGACACAGAGTGCCGAAATCGATAGATAATGGCATGCAATCTCGTTTAGTGGATATTGGACACTGCATCAAAATAGATAAGTCATCTTTGGTTGTCTATCGAATACCAAACATGAACAAAGCAAGAACAACAATTAAACCAGGATAATATGAGCTCATCTTTTATTATTTCGAGGATTTTTTCTCAACTGGTTACAACCTGAACAATAAAAAATATGAATTACATTACATTAAAGATTTGAACATACTTCTTCACGATCACAAGGAGTAATTGGTAGAAAGTAAAAGTTACATTAGTCCGGAATGATTTAACTAATTAAGAGTTACAAACACTGACTATTTATAGAATAATTCAAATGAACTGTGATAAATATTTGACAGTTTATAAATATTTATAGAATGATTAGGCAATTAGGCTTGGAAACAAAAACAGAGTTGCATATATATATATTCATGTATATATATATATATATATATGATTACAGAAACACGGTTTAGTTAGAAAGAGCATAACTACGTAACTAAAGAAAATGTTTTGTCTAATAGATAATAGAAAAAAAATAAGAGAAAGAACAAGGTAGGGTGAGTCATGTTTAGATGAGAGAGTAGAGTTTTCTAAACAAGAAAAAGAGTGACTCATACCCACAAACGTTCATTGACAAGTATGGGAGACGTCATGTTGAAAAAGTGAAAAGCAGCGCAGTAGAGAAAAAGCCTATCTTTCTGCTGCTTGCATTCAAAGGTGATGATACTGCTAGTAGAATAAGATACAGACTGAACGCTGCCCTGAATAGAACATATCCAGCCGCCAAGCTTGTATGTGTTTATCAAACAACTAGTTGTTTGAGACAATCAAAAGTGGACAAATACCCACCTCATGTTACCTCCAACTGTGTCTACCAATTTACGTGTCCGTGCCAAAACACATACATCGGAAGAACAGAGAGAAGGGTTATTGTCCGCATTTCTGAACACATACCAAAGAACCTGAGACTGAAAGGTCCGCAAGTATTAAACAGTGCGATTGCGCGTCATCTACTGGACACTGGCCATATCGTAGACAACCTGAATTCGTTCAAAATAATCAACAAGCAAAAGAAACCTAGCTTGCTACGCTTTGCTGAAGCAGTTGCTATCAAACGACTTAAACCAAATCTATGTACGCAGAAAAAGACAGTGGTGAATCTTGCACTGCCCTGGTGATAACAAAATATATAACTTGTATGAGTCACCTTTTTCTTTTTTAGAAAACTCTACTCTCTCATTTAAACATGACTCACCCTGCCTTGTTCTTTCTCTTCTTTTTTTCTATTGGCTAAAAACACATTTTCTTTAGTTACGTAATCTACTTTTTGTTATGCTCATTCTAGCTAAACCTTGTTTCTATACACACATGTATATATATATACGCAACACTGTTTTTGTTCCCAAGCCTAATTGTCTAATTATTCTATAAATAGTCAGTGTTTGTAACTCTTAATTAGTTAAATCATTCCGGACAAATGTTACTTTTACTTTCTACCAATTACTCCTTGTGATCGTGAAGAAGTATGTTCAAATCTTTAATGTAATGTAATTCATATTTTTTATTGTTCAGGTTGTAACCAGTTGAGAAAAAATCCTCGAAATAATAAAAGATGAGCTCATATTATCCTGGTTTAATTGTTGTTCTTGCTTTGTTCAAGTTTATTAAATGGAAGAATTGTATGAAGTTTTTGAAGAATACCAAACTGTCTACCTAGTAAGGAAACACAATCACGTTTTTTATCACCAAATGAAGCTGAAACGACCAATAAGAACAATCCTATATTTATCTTAGTCATCAAAAGATGCACTCATCTCATATATTTTCGTGTCTCATTATGTCTGTCGTACTCCTTTTCACCTAGTTTACATCATACAATTATTATTATCTATCAGTCTGTGGATTTATACTTAGCTTTTATTTGTCCCCACTATTCGGTATCTTATGCTTTTAATGTCTTGAAATGAAGACAAGGAACAAAATTATCCTAAAAAAACTCTTACCTATTCCATATTCTTGTTCCAGCTAAACGAGCATGTGCAGGCTGTGGTACGCCGATAAAATTTGACAGCATTAATGACTGAGTTTCTCTAGCACCATTCAACATTGAGACATCATTTGACTGTTGATTTTCATCTTCAGAGTCGATATCATTTGAAAGTAAACCGAAATATGTTCGATCCATAAATGAAATCCGTTTCTCTTGTAACCATGAGGTATTCAATGCTCGACGAGCTGGTGCAATCCATGGATTGATGAGAAGATTTGCCAACAGTTGGTCATATGGTGCCCAATAATCGATCACTTTTGTATCCAAATCATCTCTAGTCTGTAAAAAAATTTGGAAATCATATTTGACGTTATTGTTTCGCTTCCCATCAGACTGTTTCAAATTAAATAGCTTCCTGTCGGACATCAGTCAGTGGTCTAAACTAAATGGCTTCATACTGAATCCCTCAAAAAATTAGACTATTGACTTCTCCCTTACGCATAAACGAGATATACAAACACTAGTAAGTACTCATGAAGCCTGTTGCATTGAGGGGACTAAAACTGAAACTAAGTCTAATGCAAAGTACCTCGGTCTAGTTCTATCTTCCGACTTTACTTGAACATCTCATATCCTAACGGTTTCTAAGAAAGTGTTCTGTCTAACCTACTACATTAAGAAACTAAGACAATCTGGAATCACCCAACCTCTACTTTCACAACTTGTCAACTCTTGTATCTTACCTATTCTAATTTACTGCTCCCTGTTAGTCTTTCCTGGTCTACTGAAAAAAGACTATATCATCCTGAGAAGGATGTTGAAGGTAGTCAGTAGGACTAGTGGTGTAAAACTCAGTCAACTCGTCACTACATTAGTTGGAAGACATCTGAATACATGCGAAAAATGGTCTAAAACCATACTCTCCGACCCCAAACACCCCCTCTATTCCCAACTCTCGCCTTGTATCTCATCAAGTAAAACCAGAAATCAGTATAAAATAATCTATGTTCGTACAACCAAGTACAGGAACTCAACGATACCATATTTGGCCCGTGTTCTAAGTGACAGAGACAATGTTAAGCGCGAAACCTATGACTTGCTTTGTTACTAACAACATAATTTTAGGCTTTTTCATTTCTCTCTTATTTTGTATTCTATATTGAACTCCTTCCTAAACATACTTAGCTACCTAAATTATTAACATTGGCTTCCTTTTTGTACTTTACTGTATTCCTTCTTTTATGTATCTGCTGTTTCCGACTATATTAGCACTATGAGTAGTACAAAATTGTCCTGTCATTAACCATCATGTAATTATTAGTTTTGTGGTTGTTTTTTCTTATTTTTTATTTTTTTCGGCAATACTAACTGACAATCATTGGTTGTGAACGCCGTTACCATCACTTCAAAATTTTGTATTATGCAGAATTACTCACACTACCACTACAAGCACCGCATTAAACCTGAAAAAAACAACCCTGAAATGTTATTTTATGATTGTTTAGAGTTGTTTCAACCAAATTAACTGATCATCTTGGAGATAAACACTATTAAATATCATTTCATAACTTCTTGTATGACTATAGCTTTACTGTCATCATGCATAATCATATCATAGCTTACACTACCCAATACTGAGATATTATTATATGCTGTTTATTTTCCTTTCTACTTCTTGGTATTTTTTTCGCATTTTTTTATTATTTTTGTGTTTGTTTTTGTTGTTGTTGTCTTTATATTTATTTTTTGAAATACACCTTTTAAAGGTTGGATAAAATTAGATGCAAATACTGTAGATATGTGCTGAAAATTCCACACTGTACCACTAGTACTGTTTCTGGAATAAAGCATACTATTATTATGCTGAAAAACTGGTCACTGAATTCATGTTAGGTTAACTTCATGTGAATAATACTCATCTAGAGCTAATTGAAAGGATTTCCATTCTAAAGAATGATCATTAGATGGTTGAAGAATATGGATAGGAAGTCATCGGCCTAAGTTTCGTGACACCTAGCACTATCCAATTAGGCTTCTCTGAATATTTTCGCCCCAATAGCTCAACGGTTAACGTCTTTGAGTGACATAGGTTTCAACTTTCAAGGGAATATTAATTCCTTCGAAGCTACAACATATGCCTTGTCAACCTATCCGAACGGTTTAGCATTCATTGAAAGGTCCCTGATATTGGCGATTGCATTCCAAGCTTGACTGATTGAATTCAGAAAGAATCACTGAGGATTAGACACCCAAAAACTATCTACTCGACAATAGCTCATGCATGTATCAAAACAGTTAGTTTAACAGTACTAAACGGCTACACACACACTAACTAACTCTGACAATTATCCAACGAGGAAATCACTGTCCGGAGAATATGCTAATTTGGGGGGGGCGAGAGATGAACCAGACAAACTCTGAGGAGATAGTTGGGTTACATTACGCTCTTTCGGCCGTCGACAAGGAACCTGAGTGGGAAATGTCAAGTTAGGCGTCCTAGGATACATTGGAGGAGATCGTGTGGGGAGAAGAGCAAAGCTTATAGGCGATCATACAGCCCGTTGAGGAGGACTGTAAAAGACGGGATAAAGTGGATACATGCTGCTGAAGCTCAGTGTTCCACCTGGAATCCAAAGAAATAATAATGAAAAATTAACTACATGTAAATAACACTAATGTAACACCGGCCATTCAGTAATTATTATTGTCGTTCACGACTGCAGTAATTTTGACTGGTGAAAATCATCCTTAGGCTTGGTTAGCTGAATCACTTACTATCTGGTGACTATTTCGTCTACGTACTTAGTGCTCAACGAGGTTGCTTTTGACTTTATTTACATCACAAAAGGCCTTTGAATTCGGTTATGTTTTGTGCATATGCGTTATTGATGAACCAAAACAAACCTTAGTTTGAATCTTTCTACTGACTTATCCCTCATATTGGAGATGAAAATCATGCAGATATCTTCAGAGGCAAATCATATTTAATCGAGAAACGAAAAAAATAATGAAAATAACCGGTGACTAATGTATAAAGAGTACATCAGTCGATATAAGTATAAAACTTGGGCACTGTGGTAGAGTATAACTCCATTATGGGTAAGATTTTATTTTGATAAATCACGCAGTGTTGTACAGTTATATTAACTGATGACGTTTCGATCACAATTTATTACTGCTCATAATCATATCAAGGTAATCACACAGCTTCTTTCCTTCATTTATATACATGTGTGGAATCGATTAGATATTGGAATAAAATTCAGTATGAGATAATGTACATTCAGAAATAATAATACGAGTGTTACTGAACAATTACAGTTAGATGGAAATAAGACGAGCGTTTTCATTATAATAAAATAAGTTACTTCTTAGAATGTTGTGATGTGCTTGAACTGAAATAGCAGTTTAAGATTATTTATTATCCTCTTCTGATTTGACCTGCGGTAATAATATCTTGTATATTTCTGGTATTTGCATTGAGTCATTTCTTTTGCATGTGTTGGGTGTAGATTCAATGAACCAGGATTCAGTAATCAACCTCTCTCTCCACCTACCTAGATTACTTTTTAGAATTTTAACCCTATCCCACCCACCATATTGTGTGGTTGTCTGTTAATGAGTGAAGTACAATAGCTGAGCTTTTTTCTAAATTACTTATCTTCTCGGGGTCAACCATTCTTACCTTAGCTAAATTCTTATGTTCTGATAATCTGACTACCCCTGACCTACTAGTTTAACCTATGTAGTTGACCTTACTCACAGTCATTGCAGAGTATTTTGTAAATTATTTTATTTTGTCTAATTGGGTCAACCGACAGGGTCCTTTAACCTACAGAGCTTGTCCCTGAGTGAGTTTGTAGGTTTGAACGCCACCCTAATTCCTGCTTTGTTTAGGATCCTACGTAAGGTCTCAGATGTCCCCTCTTTATATGGTATAACTGTAGATGACTTATATTCTCTCTTATTTATGTCATCATTACTAGTTACACAATTCTTTTTATTTTTCTTTTGGCCTTTTCTGATCTTCCTAATGAATTTTAAAGGATAGTTATTTAACACCAACGCTTCTTCTATCTGTTTTATTTCATCATTTAAGTCTTTTTTTGTGTTACTTAGTGCTATGGCTCGGTTTGTCAGACACTTCACTAAGCCTGCCTTAACAGTTAACGGATGAGACGAATTACAGTTTAAATATCTATTAGAATGTTTGTCAGCTGCTTCAGTGGTTCGAGGGCTCGATTTTCAGCAGACGCAATCTTAAACCACACTTAGACTGTAGTAAGTACAGAAGAACATTGAAAAGTTGGACGTTGGCTAGCGAATTCACTTCTCTGTCATGAGAAATCAACGCCACGCATATTGAAACTTCAAAGCCTGAAGCTTGAAGCTTTATGTTCCTTGTTCAAAACGCACAGCGTCGGTGGTATAGCGGTTAGGACGCTCGCCGACCATGCACATAGTTCGGGTTTCAATCCCCAACCGACGAACTCCTTTACCTCTCTAAGCCAGAAATAATGCTTGTGAAGACGAAAGGTTGGGCATGAGGCTAGCAACCGTATCCTTTAAAGATAAACACTACTACAGAAACTTCAAGCCACTAGCTTGAAGCCCTATGTTCCACTGGGTAACGTGAAATAAAAACAAAGTCAAAACGTAAATGAATAAAAAATCGATCATAATATCTTTTCAAAATACTCACCTTCCTTAAATAATCATCAACTGTATCTAAATACGGTAGCCAACTGTTACGCTCTAAATTATTCCATGTTTCTTGTTCAATAGTTGATATTTGAACATTCATACTATTCAATGTCCAAGGCGAACCATTTGAATGATTATTATTATTAATATTATTATTACCAATCTTATCTTTTTCACTAATACTCATTGTAATTGGATCTTCATAGATTGCATTATTAAAATTGTAATTATAATTACTAGGATTTGTATTCATATAATTATTACTATTTTTTACAGTAAAACTGTTAGGCGTATTTGTTTGACTTAACCAACTGATTAGTTGTTTACCGATATACAACATAACCTTGGATAATTGTTTACTATGCTCTTCATAGTGTTTACCACAGTCTGAAATTTGTCCAGTCCCCTTCTGAATCTAAATGAAAAGGAAGTGAAAGAAGACGGATTACAGATAATCCCCTGAAATAAATAAAAGCAGCGGTTAAAACGGATGGTTCATGAGTTTGCTTTCTGATGTTTGCCGTAAACTATGAAAAAGAAGAAGAAGAGCTTAGCTCAGAATTCAAAGCAGATGACTATCTTAAATCCTCTTCTTCATTTATTATTATTATTGTATCCTTTAATTACTAGAGGAACATACGGCTTCAGCCGTGCGTCTCCATTGCATTCGGTTCTCTGCTAGAATCTTCACCTGGCTCCAAGTCTCCCCACACGTTTTCATCTCCTCTTCACATGACTTCCTCCAAGTCACCCACCCTAGCACTGACGACCAAATCGCCGCTTCCCTTTCAAGTTACACTCGAGCATTGACTTGTCTAGTGATGTCACTTGATGCATTGTTTCCTTAGAGTATGGCCAGCCAATCCGTCTCCATTTCTTCCTGCACATTTGTTTCACAGTCGGTTCCTGCTGAGTTGGTTCGCTCATTGCCAGAGATCCCTCTCTGTTGCTGATATTTTCACGCTGGCCGGCCATCTGATCTTGAGTGGTATTGAGCGAAGACAACTAGCTGTTGATGAAGGTCTGCAGTTTGCTTGAGATGCTCTTGATGACGTGCAGTGCAAGTCTCTGATCCATCCGTATAGTGAGTAGCACTGACTGACTTCACATTGGAGTTGAAAATCCGGATCTTATTTTTGATGCTGATTGCTGTTGACCTCCTCCACACAGATTTGAGAGTAGTGAGAGCTTGTCTTGCGTTGATCTCCTCATCAGTTCCGTCGGCCTGTAGTTGAAACGATGCTTCCCAGTTTGGTTGTTGAAGGAGGTTGTTTCTTTCAGGTTCCTTCCATTTATACTGATTGTTTTCAGTTGTTGTTGTTGTTGCCCAGGAATCTTCATCACCTCTGTTTTCTCTATGTTCACCTGAAGTCCTAACTTCTCTGGATACTTCTTCTGCCAACTTGTTGCTTTTCGCTTGCATATCTTCCAGTTTGTGTAAAATCAGACATATATCATCAGCGAAGTCCAGATCCTCCAAGTTCTTGTTTTGTGCGAGTCCATTTTATGCCTGTTTCCTCATTGCCCACCGCTCTTTCTCGCATTATCCAGCAATCAGGAAAATGATTGGTGATAGTAGCCAGCCAGCTTGTCTTACTCCTGTCCTCACTTTGAAGGATTCCGTAAGTTTCCCGTTGTAGATTACTTGGCATGCAGCAGTGTCGTACAGCTGTTGGATGAAATGTATAATTGTCCATTAAATAACGTTTCAATATCCTCATAAGGCATCATTACATATTTTTGTTTTTACACTTTGACTTTACACTTGTAGTTACGTCATTCTGGCCCTTACAATAGTGAGTATTTGAGCACACAGTATCTTTCTTTGAAGGTAGAATTCATCACGACATGATATCCGTCAGACAGTTACTGAAATCCATATGTTTCTGCCTTTTTTCTGGAGTCATCAGCCGACTGTTATTGAATTGCAGTGGATAGCGTTTATGCCCATTGGGAGTTAAAACATATCGAAACGATGAACAATGTTCACTACACATGTATTGCGTGATATATATTCTTCATGACATCAGATTTCATTAGTGCTTCTATCGACTCCTATAGACATAAACACTTAAAATTGTAGTAACGAAATTAAATCACTCATATAACTAATAATAATAATAAGTTGCTTTATTCCAAAAACAGTACTAATGATACAGCAAGGAAATTTCAGCATTCAGTACAATATTGCATCTAATTAACTCAAAAACGACGAAAAAAACAAAACAAAAAAATTGCATTACATAATAATGATAACAAAACTTTGTTATAGCAGCTATTTAGCAAATTACTGTAAGCAGTACGGAGAAAAATATGCATAAAGTATAAAATTATAGTAATAATAGTAATAACAACTAAAATAAAAATAGCAAAGATATAATTAAACGATAGGAAGGGTGACACCATAAAATTACAGAAAGATGAACAATGAGAGGGTCGATTCGCTTTCCTAATTATATAGTAACTTATACGTTTCATGTCTAATAGAGTCTTCATCACATAAAATACGGGCTAAATACAGTATTTTAGAAATTTTGTACTTAGTGGTTCGAGTATATAACTTCTTATATTGACTTCTCGTCCTACCTGATGAGATATAAGGGGATAGTTGTGAATAAAGAGGGTGCAGAGGGTCTGACAGTACGGCCTTTCCCTATTTTGTACAGGATTTTATATGTCTCTCGACTATAGTATTGGCGAGCTCACGCAGTGGCGAATCGCAAGCCATACTCACAGCATTTAATACCCTTCGTAATGTGATATAGTCTTTTTTGAGAGGCCCACGAAAGATTAATGGAGAGTAATAGAGTACGATGGGTAAAATACAGGAGTTTAAAAATTGCAGAACTAAAGGTTGGTTGATATCTGATTGTCTTAACTTTTTAATGTAGAAGGTAAGACGAAACATTTTCTTAGAGATTGATAAGATGTGGGATAACCATGAAAGGTCAGAGGAAAGAACTAATCCAAGGTATTTAATGCTTGACTTGGTTTCAATTTCAGTGCCGTCTAGGCTACAGGCATCATGGGAACTAACTAGTTCATGTATGTCACATCGATGCTTGAAAATAAGGTTAACTGCCTGACATTTGGAACGATTTAACATAAGACCATTTGACTTAGACCACTTGCTGATGTCCAACAGAAAGCTATTGAGTTTGGAGCAGTCAGACTCGGAAGTGATAGGCAGTGAGACAGTCAGATCATCCGCATATTTGACAAAGTTAGTTTCGTTTAAATGAGGCAGGTTGTGTAGGAAGAGAGAAAAAAGAAAAGGAGAAAGGACGGCACCTTGAGGAACACCAGCTTTTGTAAGTCAGGCAGAAAATTTGCCATTATATACAGTATACTGCATTCTATCAGAAAAATAAGAATGCAACCAACTCTTAGCCCAGGATGCTGTGTGCATCAAGGAGAGCTTATTTAATAAAAGGCCCCTAGGTACAGAGTCAAACGCAGATGTGTAGTCTAGGAAAGCACCACGAACATATTTGGCACCTTTGTCTAAACAAGAAACAACATTATGATATAACTAACAAAAAATATCATGAATGCAAAGTTCAACCATTTAGTTCTACAAAAAAAAGTCAAACAAACAAATTTCCCATTAAAACTAAAAGCTATCTTAAGCTGCATTTTTTTAATTCCTCTAATCATCGAATGATTGGATAACATCACAGGAAGAAATCAATAATTCTCTCCTTTTACTACAGAGTTAAATGGACAGAGTTTTATGATTCGTTTGAAGCATACATAATAATCCTACTACTGTTCATATATATATATGTCTTATCAGTTATTTATTTTCAACTTTATTTAAACAAAATTATGGCGGGAAATTTGAACAAAAAGACTTTCACAACTTTAATCTCACTAAAAGGGGATATAATACATATGTATGCATCCCGACGATAATTATACTTCATGATAGTGTGAAATATATTGAGAAAAAAAACGGCTCGTAAAACATGATAAAATTTGTTTCGTTTATTTAGGTCAGCTTAAGTTCACTTTCCCGCCATCCGTACCACCACCACCACCATTGCCTTGCCTGAAAATATATTCTACATCAAAGATTTCTAAAGTTATTGGTCACTTCTTCAGTAGGATTAAAACGAAACTGCTGACTTTATTTTTTGTTATCATTATTATTATTGTTTCTAAAATGATGTCCTTGGGGAGATAAATTAAAGTTGCTATCTTGATTACAAAAATAAACATAAATCAATATATGCTTCTTTTGAGGTAGTAAGATTAAATGAAATAGCCTTGATATTGGCAGACTACTAATATTGATGGAATAGGTAATGATTCAAAAGAAAAGAAGGTGTTCAGCGAAGAGACTCTTCGGCGAATTCATTCACTGAGCTGTACAATCGCATTTATATACAATTTTGTTTGTGTGTGTGTACATTAGATTTATAAAGTTTACATAATTATGTAATATAAGTATTTTTTGGCTTGCAAACAAACGTTAATTAGATAGAAAATAAAATAGAATTGATTAAGTGAATTGGATGACGTAATACAGTTGAGTAGAATTCAGATTAGGTCAGGTTGGTAACAGTGTTAATGAGTGGTGTTTAAAATCAAATAAGGGTGGGGTTAGAGAATAATACAGTTGAAAATAAGTAAGTTATTCGGATGACGTGACGCAGTTGACTAGAAATTGGACGTGGGTCAAGTTAGTAACATTGTTAATGAGGGTAGAGATTACAAAAGGGTGGGGTAGAGAATAATATAAGTGAAGATGTGAAATAATAAAATGCAAGAGACATAATAATACAATCAGTAAGACTGAAATTAAGAAAGATTACGTCCATTGTAGATTTAATGAGTGAACGAATTTCTTTTGTATGCAGAGTTCAGGATTTATCAGATGAATTGCCATTGCTTCTGCGATGTGGAGAAGTTTGATCCGTACACTTTTAGCAAGATTGCCTTGTATTCTGTAGATAACTTTTAAGTTTATTTGTGGTTTGACTTGGTGTCCAGAGTCGATCAAATGTTCAAGGATCGAGCTGCGGGGGCATCGGTTTTCTCCTTTATAAAGTCATGAAGGTAAATGTTCGTTGACGCGTTTGGATAACGAACTCTGAGTACGGCCGATATACCTGGCTCCACACGAGCAGGTGAATTGGTAGATGCATTTAGGTTAGGCCAACAGTGGTAGCATATCCTTCACGGTTATGCGAATCACTGGTCTCGTGGAGAACGTCAGACGTAATTCAGCTGCAAAGAAGGTTTTCTTCAATGAGCGGGAGAGCCGATTTCTCAGTATTTCTGTAGACTGGTCTCCACTGAACTGTAGGTTCATATAGAGAAGTCTTTTTGTATCACTGGGTGTAGGCGGCTTCTCTGATCTGGGTTTCATTGATTTTGTGATAAATCTTGCTGGATAGCCATTTTGAAGGA